AACGTTCACTTTATTTTCAGATTTTTTGAGCAAGTTTTAGTCAATTTTTCGTCAACTTCCGACCACCAAATCATTCTATTTCGGATACCGTTGGAAAGCCAACAATATCATCTTCAATTACCACAAAATATCTCTCCCTAACTCTAAAGGATTCGGCCGGAATAAACCCACGAAGTCAGCTACCTATAGTTGACTTCGTGTAGCTGACTTCGTAGGTTTATTCCAGCCGAATCCCTTGGAGTTATGGGGAGATGTTTGATAGTAATTGAATAAGACACTGTGGGCTTTCCAATGGTATCCGAAACTGGCGGTATTGGTGGTCGGAAGTTGCCGGATAATTGCCGCACACTCCCCCAAAAAATCTGAAAATCTGGGTAGATTTTCAGATTTTTCGGTAGCCGACTTCGTGGGTATTTTTCGGCCAAATCCCTTGGATTTATGGGGAGATTTATTGTGGTAATTGAAGAGGATATTGTGGACTTTCCAACGGTATTCAAAATCAGCGGTCTTGGTGGTCGGAAGTTGNCAACGGTATCCGAAATCGGCGGTTTTAGTGGTCGGAAGTTGCCGAAAAATTGCCTCATATTTGGCCAAAAAATCTGAAAATTCAATGACCGTTTGTAAAATAAATTTAAACTTCAGTGACCGTTTTGTGATTTTCAGGTAACTTCAGTGACCGTTTGTGAAATTAACCCATTAATTTTGTCATGTAATGAATCCACTCCCAGTGTAATAAATTTGTTTTCTACCAATTTTTGTCCAACTTTTGTGTTGTCTCCCAATCATTACTACTATGCCCAAAAAAAAATTATCAAACATTATGTAAATAGTCTGCTTTAATTAATGTTTATCTGTACATACTTTAATTCATTTACTCTTTGCTCTAATTTTTTTATGGGTGTAATATATTTTTTTATGATGATTATTTAATATTTTGTGTTTTAACTTGATTAAATACTTTTATATGTTCTTTCATAAATTTTAAATTGATAATCTATCATGTTACTTTAGAAAGTAGCACAATATTATAAATAATATTCTAGAATAATATTAATCATATATATGTCTATTATTAATAGTTTGTTTGTTTTTTTTTTTTTTATATACGAAAAGAACTTTCATTAAACAAACGGATAAACCGATTACAGACAATTATCAAGCCAGATAGCTTGAGAAATACAGTTTGGAATACTATCCAACCAAACACAAATATCATCTACCCATTGAGCATGCCTAGCTAGCTTATGAGCCACCATATTACATTCCCTGTAAATATGAGAATAGTTGCAGTTTACGAAGTGAGTGTCAAAAATTTTCACTTCCTGGTACAACACTCCTAAAAAAGAGTTCAGCATGCTATCTGTTTGAAGTGCTTCAATAACCATCTTGCTATCACTTTCTACCAGAAGATTTTGGATTCTCATATTGACACATAGCTGCATGCCTCTAAATATGGCTAGCAATTCGATCGCTTCACTCTCTTCAACACTTTCTTCAATCTTGGACATTGCCATAATCACCGTACCAGAAGAATCTCTTAAAACAGCCCCTATTCTAGCTTTACCAGAAGAATCTCTTAAAACAGCCCCTATTCCAGCTTTCTCCATTTTAAATTGATAATCTATCATGTTACTTTAGAAAGTAGCACAATATTATAAATAATATTCTAGAATAATATTAATCATATATATGTCTATTATTAATAGTTTGTTTGTTTTCTTTTTTTTTTTTATATATATGAAAAGAACTTTCATTAAACAAACGGATAAACCGATTACAGACAATTATCAAGCCAGATAGCTTGAGAAATATAGTCTGGAATACTATCCAACCAAACACAAATATCATCTACCCATTGAGCATGCCTAGCTAGCTTATGAGCCACCATATTACATTCCCTGTAAATACGAGAATAGTTGCAGTTTACGAAGTGAGTGGCAAAAATTTTCACTTCCTGGTACAATACTCCTAAAAAAGAGTTCAGCATGCTATCTGTTTGAAGTGCTTCAATAACCATCTTGCTATCACTTTCTACCAGAAGATTTTGAATTCTCATATTGACACATAGCTGCATGCCTCTAAATATGGCTAGCAATTCAATCGCTTCACTCTCTTCAACACTTTCTTCAATCTTGGATATTGCCATAATCACCGTACCAGAAGAATCTCTTAAAACAGCCCCTATTCCAGATTTACCAGAAGAATCTCTTAAAACTCGGGGATAAGGTCGAAAGAGGTCAACTTTAAATGTTGCCTCATCCACATTTAATTTCAGAAATTTAATATCTGGAGGTATCCTTTTGAAATGTTTTCGGATCTGAATATAAGTTGGCTTCCTTGCTTTTTTGAACATCTCTAACATACCCAACGTATTATCAGCTATCTTTCTTGGATCCAGCCTAATTTGCTCGTGCACAAATTTATTCCTTCTGAACCAAAAACTCCTGGGCAACATGAAGAAAGTATCCAACTTTGTTACTTCTTTTGTCTCACATAAAGCAAGTGCCTTTTCTTTGATTTGTCTGCAATTAATGTTGAACAATTCTGGAAAGAAATTGTTCCAAACCCCTCGGAGCATGTTGCAATTTATCACAGCATAATGCAGATCCTCAGTTTCTGAATTACATAGACTGGAAAGACTCTGTCCTAAGATATGTTTTTTCGCTAGATTTAGAGCTGTAGGTAGCCCATCTTTGCATGCTCTCCACGCAAAAACCTTTACCTTATGCGGCACTTTCATCTTCCACAAATGTTTCCACAGCAGCTTCTTAGTTGGACCCTTTGAGGATCCTGCTTGCTGTTGACCAATGTAATTATGGATCATTCTGTAGTAACTACGAACGCTAAAACATCCACTTCTTTCAAGGGACAAGAACATTCTGTCTTCTGTTTCGTCTGGGCTGAGGTAAATTTTTTCTATATCAGAAACAATTCTTGGGTTGAAGAAAGTTCTCAGTTTGACCGAATCCCATGTCTTTTCATTATGAACAAATAGAGAGTCCACTGTGTCATTCCTGGAGTGTTCCCATACTGCAGTTCCTTCCGACAACAAGGTACGATGTCCTATAATCCATTGGTCGTGCCAAATATTATCCTATAATCCATTGGTCGTGCCAAAAATTAACTGATGTTCCATCTCCTATGCACCATTTGCTCCCCATTTGTATCCATTTTCTTGCCTCCCAAATTCCTCTCCATGTGTATGAGGGATTATGACCCAGGTCAGCTTTCAAGAAACTGCAGTTTGGGAAATACTTTGCTTTGAACAAGCGATGAAGTAGTGAGGAATTCTCTTGGGACAACCGCCGCCCTTGCTTTGCTAACAATGCTAAATTGAAACATCTAAGGTCCTTGAATCCTATTCCTCCCATAGCTTTTTGATGACACATTTTTCTCCAACTTATCCAGTGGATCTTTCTCTCCCTTCCTTTTTGTCCCCACCAGAAGTTTGACATCATACTTTCTAGCTCATGACAGAAAGTAGTAGGTAGTAGAAAACAGGACATAGTTTAAGTTGGAATAGATAGAGCTACAGCTTTCAACAATATCTCCTTGTCACCTTGGGATAAAAGCCGTTCTTTCCAAGATTGAAGTTCCTGCCATACTCTCTGCTTGATAGACTGAAATGCTCTTTTCTTCGATCTTCCAATAATAGAAGGAAGGCCCAGGTATTTCTCGTACTGCTGGATCTCACTATTACCCCACAGATTTTTGATTTCAGTCATCCTCTATTCACTAACATTAGAGCTTAATATCATTGCAGTCTTTTCTTTATTAATCTTCTGTCCGACACAGTTTCATACTTAATCAATAGGTGTTGAAAACGTCTGTTCTCTTCCAAGTCAGCCTTGCAAAAAATAATACTATCATCTGCGAACTACAGATGGTTGATGTTTGGGGCACCCCTGCAAATCTTTAAATCGGAGATATCTTGTCTCACTCCTGCTTCCTTTAATAAAGAAATGAGTCCTTCCATGCATAAGAGAAAGAGATAAGGAGATAATGGGTCCCCTTGTCTCAATCCCCTGGATGGTAGAATAGGACCTTTAGGCTCTCCATTAATCAAGACAGAAAAAGACACAGACCTTACAGAACACATAACTAGAGAAATGAAGGACGCATTAAACCCATAACCTCCATGACAAACTGAACAAAATTCCACTCCACTCTATCGTATGCCTTACTCATATCAAGTTTTAATGACATATAACCCTTGTTACCTTTCCTTTTGTGCTTAAGAAAATGAACTAACTCGTAAGCAATTACAATATTGTCAGAAATAAGATGCCCAGGAACAAAAGCACTTTGACTCTCACTAATAACATTAGGCAAGACCACTTTCAGCCTATTAGAGAGAACATTAGCAATGAGCTTGTAAATCACATTACATAGGCTAATAGGCCGAAAATCACTCACTCTAACTGCATTTTTCTTTTTCGGTATAAGAGTGATAAAAGTATGATTGAGAGGGGATGGAAAAACACCTGAATTATGAGCTTGGAGGACAGCCACAGTGATTGAAGGGCCCACCACATGCCAGTATTTTTGAAAAAATATTGGTGACATTCCTTCCGACCCTGGAGCTGTATTAGGATCCATCTCTAGGAGTGCTATTTTCACCTCATCAGCAGAATACTCGCTTGTAAGACCCATGTTCATTTGATCAGTGACCCTATTAGCAATAGGAGCTAGAAAATCCAATGAAGCCGAGGGGTTTGAGGTGGTAAATAAAGATTGAAAATACTGAGTGATCACCTTGTCTCTGTCAAAATCTTCATTCCAGCAATCCTCTTCATCTAATATTTTGACAATCGTATTCTTCTTTTTCCTTTGTGAGGCCTTCATGTGAAAATATTTTGTATTGGTATCTCCCGTTTTAAGCCATAGAGCTTTTGACCTTTGGCGCCACATTACTTCATTCCTTTCTAGACAAACCTGCACTTCTTCTCTAGCCTGACTCAGCTCATCATTGTTGGCTAGCAAAGGATCTCTTTTATGTAAAATCTTGAGGTTAGTTTGGGCTCTTGAAAGCTGCTTTTGCACGTTACCAAAAGTGTTTTTATTCCATAGCTTCAATACTTGACCTCAATCTTTAAGAAGTGAGCTAATATCAGCAGGATTGGATAAATTTGAGTTTTCCGCCCACACATCCTTTATAAGATTCTCACATGCAGCATCTTCCAACCACATGGCCTCAACTCTGAAGGGTTTTTCAATCGTTTGATAAACCTTACTCCTATCCAAATCTACCCAAATTGGAGAGTGATCAGAATATGAATTAATTCCATTTATAACCTTCGCTGTAGAGAAAGCATTAATCCAAGCAGAATTTGCCAAGAATCAGTTAAGACGTTCCTAAACTCTACTCTGGTTAGACCTCCCATTACACCATGTATATTTCTGTCCAGAATACCCCAGGTCTCTCAGATCACAATCTTCAACAAATTCTCTAAATGATAGTAGTTGTCGTTCCGGTCGCATGTTTCCCCCTTTCTTCTCATGGTGAAACAGCAATTTATTGAAATCTCTCATGAGAAGCCAGGGTTTATCTGGCCTAATATTTAAGTGGCGAAGTAGAGACCTTGTTCTATGTCTCAAATGGGTTTCAGGAAATCCATACACAGCAGACATGAACCATTTTTTTACATTAAGACCATCAAACTCAATACAAGAGTGAATGTGATTTGTATAATAATTTATCACAGTTAAAACAATGTCTGAAGACCATAATAACGTGATACCTCCTTTCCTACCACCAGAATCAATAGCCAGACAATTACCAAATCCCAATTTAAATTTATAGAATTCAAATTCCTTTGAAGATAAATGAGTCTCCTGCAGGAACAGGACGTCGAGATTTTCTCTCCGCACAATGTCAGAGAGTGATCGAATGCCACACGGATTCCCGAGACCATGGACATTCCAACTGAGGAGCATCATTGCTTTCGGCAATGCTGCTTAGCAGCCCCGTCGATAATTCCATGGCTTCCAGCACAGTGTCACCTCCATTCTCCGGAGAACCAGATAGTCGTCGCTTTTGGAACGTCAGTTTATCTTCATTACCTTCATTCCCCTTCCGTTTCTTCGAGCTTTCCAGTACCTGAAGAGAATCTGGGGCCGAATTGCAAAGAATCAGATCCATGGGCTTAGATAAGAGTGACAGCCTCTTCCATCGTTTAGTATTAGGGAACAATACATAAATAAGATATCTAAGTATCACCATTTCAAAATTAAGNTTTCCAATGGGAACAATACATAAATAAGGTATTTAGGTATCACCATTTCAAAATTAAGGTTTGAAATTTTAAATTTCAAAAATCAGGTTTTCATTAAAATTTATTTGTAATTTAATTAATAAATATATAAAGGTCACAGATCTATACAATTTGGTCACAATTCAAAAATTTTATAGATTTAGGGTCACAATCCAAAAATTTTAATGTCACAATTCAAAATTTTTATAGGTCACAGTTCGTTCATCGGTCACAAATTAAAAATCTAAAAGTCACAATTGTTCATCGGTCACGAATCACAAAATTTATAAGTCACACAACTTATTTTATGGTCACAAAACATCGAATTATAGGTCACATATTACTTTTATTGGTCACAAATTAATAAATTTGTAGGTCACAAATTATTTCTAGGTCACAGTTTATTATTTATTGGTACACACCAACCAATTTATTGGTCACAATCAACAAATCATTTGTGACCACCACCAACACAACACCACTGTC